CCATATAAGAATGATGGCTCCCAAGTGCCAAGTGTACCCATTTATGAGAGAAATTAAAACTTTAAAATTTTATATACTCGCTCCAGATTTTTAAATGACGATCAGTAATTGGCAATTTTTTTAAACAAAGTATGAGCCAAGAAACACATACTTTTGCCCTGGATTTGACTAAGGGAACAGGTTCCTGTAAAGTAAACAGAGGGATCAAAAGTAGACAAGCCCACGGAAGAACCAAACGCTGTTCCTTGGGCTGTTTCTTACTTCCGGGAGTCCTTCCCCAAGTGTGCAGCATCCACATCACCTGGGAACTTGTGAGAAACACACAGTCTCAGGCCCCAGCCAGCCCTACTGGATCAGAAACTCCCAGCATGGGGTGAGCGGTTGGTGTTGGAACAAGTCCTCCAGATGATTCTGATATTCGCTCAAGCTTGAGAACCACGGTCTTATGGGAATCACATGCCAGTCTTCAGATCATTTTCCTTTCTTCTGAATCTACTTCCTGTTTCTATAATCTTGAAGATTGCCAACTACAGCATGATAGAACCCTCTACTAAATATCTAATGTTCAGAATAACAGAGAAAGATGACCGCTTAGACATTGCACCTCATCTCCCTTTAACATGGTGCTAAAAGATGCTAAACACATCTCCCTTTAACACATGGGGACCCATGCAGACTCATTACCTGCACCTCCACAGAGAAGTCATCAAGAAGAATGTGTATGTGTATGTATATGAATGCCACAGAACTCTCCAGAATGGAGCAGGAGGGACGGGATCCTGCTATTAATTTCTAATCATAGAAGACTTTCTTGCTACAAAAAGCAAATCTGCTTTGACTTGAAATACTCTATAAGTAGATGAAACTCCTTGAAAATGTTGAAATTTCCAAGATCCTGGTTCCAATTAATCCAAGAAAGCACCTGGCCGAAAATGAATATTGTACCTTTGACAAGATATGTGTAAATTTGTGTTTTATCTGAAGAACTGTGACTTTGAAGCCCTCGTCCTCTGCCTCTCCCTGCAAGTAAGGACCGGATGTTTAAATACCAGTATTACTGGGCAACTGCTATCCAACAGGTATCACCATGTGGGAAGGATTTATAGAATTCAGTATGTGAGACCCATCTGGTAATTTATTCGGTCTTAATGGAGCTGCTTATGAAAAGCCCCCTTCACTGACTGCTAAGCTGCTGATTGGTGCCCACCAGAGGAACTTATTAAAAACATGGATTACTGAGGGGCACCTGGGTGGCTCAGATGGTTAAGTGTCTGCCTTCGGCTCAGGTCATGATCCCGGGGTCCTGGGATCGAGTTCCACATCCGCCTAGCAGGGAGCCTGCTTCTCCCTCTGCCTCTGCCTCTCTCTCTCTCTCTCTGACTTGCATGAATAAATATATAAAACATTAAAAAAAAAGAATTTAAAAAAAAACATGAATTACTGAAGCACATCCTTAGACATTTTGATTCTGTAGATATGGGATAGAGTACAAGTATCCATAATTTAAAAATCTCCCCAGAGAATTCAAACTAGCTCACAGCTTGAGGAACGTCTGGGTTTAGGCACTCAGAGGCACCAAAAATGTTAATGTTCATCATTGATATCCTAACATATGGGTTCATCAGATAAATAAATGTCAACCTGGAAAGCAAAGAAGGAATTAGAATAGAGAACAAGCTTTGACAAGGGTGGGGGAACAGCCCTGGGGGATGGAGAGAAGCTTCTGGGTGATAACGAGGGTGCAGAAGGAGGAACCATAGAAAAACAGAAACATCCAGGAGATGACTGTATGGCCACCATGGCTGACTTCACCATCTATAGATGCTGGACTCACCAAGCAGCTCTGGCTCCACGGAAAACAAAAGTGCTGCCCAATATGGACAAAGCACCCTTCTCAGTGAATCATTTCACTGAACACGTTAACCATGTCTTTATGGATTTCTTCTCTCCTCCAAAAAAAAGTTTCATTTTGAAAACAAGGAAAGCCATCATATTCAGTTTGGTGAACCGGAAGGCACAAGACTGAGAAACCATAGGTCATTATGAGATTAAATCTCGATGGGCACCTAACCCTGGACAACCTGGGCATTACAGTATAACACAGATTCTTCGGCAACTGCGCTGCATGGCCAGCAGCAGCAACTTACCTTGCGATCTGGCCAATTGTATTTCGCAAAGATAGTATCATAGGTGTCCACCGCCCCGTCGGTGATGAGCATGATGGCCTGGCTGCAGATGCTTCCTTGTCCTGTGTGGTTGAACTGTGGGAAGAAACAAGTTCAAACTAAAAAACACACATAACATAACATAACATAATAATAAAAAAAAAAGCCAAAACAACCCCAAATAAATAAAATAAAATAAAATAAAATAAAACACACCAGAGAGTTCTGTACATCCACAAGACTTCAGAGGCATGAGGGCTTGGGAAGCCTCTCAAAACAAGAGCTTGTTCTTCTGCAAAGCAGAACCTACACGATAAGCTTTTCCCCATGCATTCACCCTATTTGCTTTGACAAATTGAAACTACATACTGACCTCGGAGGGGATTTCTGAAAAACACACGCAAGGTGGGAAGTGAGATTCTAGGGCAAATAACCTGTCTTACTTCAAGCACAGATAGTGCCACAGAATATAAGCCCCTAAGGCATTGGCACAGTCACCCTTTAGGAACACATGAGCCACAGAATACGAGGCAGGCAACTGTCTCTTTCAAAATCTAAAGGAGTCTGGTTGGATGCATTATATAATACAATCAGCGAGGTTTTGGACACATGGAGAATAAAGTCAGGAACATGCCAATTCAGACTAGAAGCCTAAGCACTCCTTGTAGGGTCTGTTTTAAATATATATTTGTTAGCATGTAACATTACATATTAATTTATGTACATTACTGAAATTCCAAGATTATGCCCACTGGTGTGCAAAACCCTAAATTTCTTCAACTTTCAGTTTTATGTGGCATTGTAAAAGCTCCCAGTCTTCGTGAGTGGTAGACTAGGGTAGACTGGTCACCAGAACTCGGTGTCCTTCCCTTGAATCAGCGGTGAAGAATTCCCTTAATGAATGTTATTAATGCTGCAATTCAAAGTAACACCAGGTCCTTTAAAAAAAACCTACAATTGGAGCACCTGGGTGGCTCAGTCGCTGAAGTGTCTGCCTTCAGCTCAGGTTCTGGGATCAAGACCCGAGTTGGGCTCCCTGCTCAGTGGGGAGTCTGCTTCTCCCTGTACCTCTGCCCTCCCCTCCACTCACGCTCTCTCTCTCTCGCTCTCTCTCTTTCAAATAAATAAATAAAATTTTAAAATAAATAAATAATCAAAATCAAAAACCCTACAATTAATAAGACAGTGCCAAGGCATGAAAACACACAAAAAGTCTTTAAGTTTCAGTAGTGAAAACTCCCACCATTATAATTGGTGAAGTTTATTCATTAATTCTAAAATTATTTACTAAGTACCCACACAGAGCTGGGGATGAAACATGCAAAAATCCCTTCCCTCCTGGAGTTTATAATTCTATGTGGGGAGACATATAGAAACAAAGTAAATAAGTCAATTTTGTTGTATGTGTGGTAACAGTGATGTTAAGAAACAAAAAAAAGAAAAAAGAAAGCAGAGCAGGGGGATGGGAAATGGGGAGGGGGCAACTTTAGAAAAAATAGAGAAGACCTCACTGAGAAGGTGATATATGAGTGACACCTGCAGGAGGTGAGTATCTGGGGGAGGGATGTCCCAGAGAGGGCCAAGAGCACATGCAAAGGCGCTGAGTGGGCACGTTCCATCTGTTGACCAAGGCACTAGGGAAGGATGGAGGCTGTTCTTGGATTTGCTGCTGGTTCCTGCAGAAGCAGAGAGCTAATAAAGCATTCAAGTTGAGATTTAATGCCTAGTCTCTTAGAGTTCTGATGTAGAGACTGAAGTTGCAACTTGAGAGAGAAGACTATAACTAACTGGATGAATGAATGGATAGAAGGAAGGAAGGAAGGAAGGAAGG